ATATATCTGAAGGATTTCCTTAGGATCATTGCAAGTTGTCTTCAGAATTGCTTTTGCTTTCAGGATTCTCCTCAATTATTTTATGTTTTTGACCGGTAGTCCCTAGAAATTTCCCCGATAAAAGTCGTAATTTTGTGCAGAACACTATAGAGAAAGAAAGAAAACTCTTGAAATTAACTCTTGTATTCTTAGAAATTCTGGCAAGAAATTGCTTTAATTTCTCTTCATTATAGTCTTCACACTTCGTTGGGAATATTCCTGGAAATGCCATTTAGAACTTAGAAAACAGTCATCGCAAAATTTTCTTGTATTTATCCTCACAATTCGATAGGTATTTTCATTCGAATTTCCCTGAAATGCTTTCCAAAATGCTCTGGACGAAGATCTCTAGAAATTTTCTTGAAACTCTCCTTAGAATTCCCCTGTAAATTTCTTCAGAATCTTCTGGAACACTACTGAGAGATTCTTTTGAAATATTCTCTAAATTTCCAGCCAAGTCCTCCAATACTTTTTGATATTTCTTAAAAATTCCCATAACTTTCTTTATAAAATCTCTTCAAACTTTCTTCAAACTAGCTTAAACTTCGGTAACGATTTTTGTTTTAGCTATATTATTAGATTCCCTTGGATTTATTGCATTTATTTTATCGCAGCTCTCATCAGAATTTATCTTTGATTAATCGATCGATCAACATTTAAGAGGTTTTCAGTTATGGGTGATCGTTAGGTGTTGTTTCAGAATTGTAGTCATAGTTAAGTTTGCCTCATGGCCAATTAACTTGAGGATGGATGGAGCGATGGAAAAGCGGAGGGACAGAGGTCAGATAGCCCACTAACGATTCGCCATTTCTCATAACTATCCAGGCGTTCGCGTGTGAAAGGTGTTGAACAATTAAAGTGCTTGAAATAGCCAGTAATGAGTGGTAATATTCGAGTGTGACGATTTGCTGCACCACAGCTCAATTCAGGTAAATAGTTCTCTGCCCAAACTAAAGCTAACGGCTGAACTAACGTTCATTCGATAACCTCACAGGACCTTTTGTATTATCGTTTGGTACACACCGCCATTTTGTCCGTTGACAAGATCAACCGACGCGCACGTGATCCGGCTTAGCAGTCTCTAAGGGCCGCTAGGTCTAAAAGCAAAGGAACTAGCCTTTTTCAAGCCAGACCAAAAATAATCGGATGGAAGGAATTTGTCTCGGGAACCGTCCCTAACCGCCAAGGAGACGTTTCCCTCTCGGTAGAGTTACTCCGGCCTTGCCTGGGCTCTGCCGATGTATGTCTATGAGAGAAGACGCCTGGGAGGACCTTTAGTGGTTTCAGGCGCCAACGAAACCGCTCCCTCACACCGCCACACAGCCAACTTTGACCACGATCACCACATCGAATCCTGCAGAACTCGCAGCACAGTGAGTCCAGCGAGCGCTCGCCCAACTTCGTCGAAGCCGTCCATCTTCAGCATCAGTCATCATCATTAGCAGTACCGGTACGTTTTTCGAAAATAAACCACCCACTTTACACCCACACCCACAATAATAGTATTCTGCACATTTGGTCGCGTAGACCCTCCGATTGCCCAGCAGTAAGCGCCGACCTTGAGACCCAGCTCGAGAGGTCTCTTGCTATTGAGAACTTTCCGGGAACAGACAGTAGAGCTGCAATTACCTGAAATTAATATTCAAATTCCATTGAAAGTCTCCCCAGAATTCATTTATAATCATCCCTAGAATTCCTCTACAGTTCTTCTCAAAACTCATTTGGCATTCTCACCACCTTGATTAAGTAATTTCTAAAGCTTCCTTCACCAGACATCTATTGGTTTTCAATCGTGATCTCAAACTTGGCAATACAAGGGCCGGCCGCGTCCGAATGAAGATCAATAAAGCAATGGGTAGGAATGCGTTGACGTGACACTCACTTTGATGGATGCCGAGAAATCCTCTGCACTTCAACGAGGATGTTGGATAAAAGGGTGAGAAAGGATTCGTTTTGGTAAACGATAAGCTGAATTGATGTCCTAACGATCGTATAATGCGCAGGAGCTTGGGATTGAACCCACGGTTTTCTGCTCAGTAAGCAAAAATGTTTGAAACTAGGAAAACGAGCTCCTTATATGACAACAGTTGTTGTTATTACCATTTATTCATATTAGCAAATAAAGCCAGTAACGAATCTTGAATCTGGAGAGGCTTGAGATTAAACTCATGATGTTCTGCTCAGTAAGCAAAAGCGGTCGCTCTAAGGCCACCGAGCCCCTCATATCATATCATACCATCTATGCGGTGGTTCTGACCGACCCAAAATTTAGTTGAGTCGACTCAATTTCGGCTAAAGTGGATATACTCAAAAGAGAGTTGAATTTTACGGGCTTTTCCGGGAAAAACTATTCTAATATGAAGAAAATCGTAAGAGGTTTCACTCATTAGTATACTCCTTCATTGTGCACGATAGGACGCAATTTTCTACGTTGGTTTTATTAAATAAAAGCGATGATGATTTGGACTGTTCTGTCATGGTGAAGGCACACGGTTACTCTACGTGTATTTATTATATTCATATTACAGAGGCAGCACATTTCAGAGAAACAGTAACAATATAGTATGAACAAGTCGTTGTGTGTGTATGTATTGATACGATTGATATGGTTGATATTTTCTACTTATGGTCAAGGCAGACTGAGTAAAATTTTCATGGATTTTCGTCATATTCGAGACGTTTTTCCTGGTTTTCCACGGCTTTTGCCCGGAATATACAACTAACTTTCTAATAAATTCATTTTTGTTCAAGCCCTGGAAAAAAAAGCTATTCAAATGAAATTACGTCCCTGAAAGCAGTCTGATTATTTTCCAAACTGGATCGTCAATTTTTTCTAAACATTCTTATCATCCCTGATCGATTCACCCGTTTTTTTATTAATTACTTTATTTGTACAGGCTCAAGTGCATAAACTTTACAGAGTCAAGTTATCATTTGCGTTATACATTATTAATGTCTTAAATCTAAAATTGAAGGATTTGAATCATCCATCCGAGCTCTGTCAGCTATGATTTTCTACAATGGTGGTATGCGATAAAGGGTGATCACCAAATTAATGCCACACACATAAACAGCTGCAACTTTTTAACCACGTTACCAAATGACATTTCCATTAGTCCACATTTTACTCGTATAATTGTGTAGACCGTCCAAGAGATGTTTTAATCCCGAGTTACAGTAAAGTGAACACACCGCTATAAAAATAAAATTGCTCGGTCTCGAACTTTAAATCATTGGTTCAGGCTGTAAATTTGTTGATCTTTGGCCATTTTATTCCATCTCCAAATATAGTGCAGTTGATCAGTTATAACGCTTCCAAATTTTAGTTCATTTTGACGCAAAAAAACCAAACCCCTCTAAGCAAACGACAACTCAAACCTTTCAAACAAAAAAAAAACAGAAAGTTCTGCCACACTTTAAAGTTGTATAATCGGTAAATAAATTGAACAAAGAATAGACCAATAGAATAGATGCTAAATGTTAAAGTAAATTGAACAAAATTTTAAAGACAACCTTTTGATTTCATGATTAGAAAAATTCCAAGACACTTGGTATCGTGGTTAAAAAGTTACAGCTGTCTATGTCTTGTGTTCACCATTTAGATCATAATCCCAAGTAACAATTTGGGTTTTATCATGGTTTTGAAGAGGTTAAGAATTGAATTGAAGAACATTATAAAACCAGAAATGTTACTTGAGAATGTCTCTTCCCAGCAAGATTCAACTATGTTCTTGCACCCGGGTGGAGCATCTGTCACTTCTTACCGACTTTATCGCTTTTTTTATTTCACATCACTCCAACCGAGCTGTCACACGTTCATAAACAACATAACGAAAATACACCAAAACAATTATTCTAACTAAAACCGAACAGAAGATCGCGTACGATCGAGGTTATCCCGGATGTCCAATGGTGCATTCACTTAATTCCAAATGGCCGAAAACGGTCCTAGGTTCGAACACAAATAAAATGTATACACTCTGACACATTCTACGTAACGCCACAACAGTTCCTACCTATTTCTCAATGGCTCCTGCACTACAGCTTAAAAAATTAAAGGTAACCCCTGATTACTATTGTAGATCCGGAATATTACAAGAAGTTCAAATTAAAAATAAGCCATTGATAAATTAATTGTAGTTACGTTTAGCGAGGGTCAACAGTGCCTTTGGCAATTATTAAATTATGGCAAGTTTCACCAAACTTTCTATTGCATCCCTTTGCATTCGGGCGCATCATATATAAATACTCTTGCTTAAAACAGTAGTGTTGTGTAGTAACCAAAATGTCAGTTTAGCATCTCATAATAAATTGCCCTGCACATCAAAACCTCCGAGACCAATACGGTATCGGTCGCAGCATTAGAGACGCATTATCCAATGACCCAGACAGCGAAAGATCACTTCTCGACTTCCTTAAAGACACAGGCTATTATCAATCTACGTAGAACCCCGCAACGAACAATGACACGACAACGGACGAACGACGGCACTTGGACAACACCAGCTCGGTAAATGACATGTCAAACGGAAGAACACCGATGACAACCCTGCAGGCTACGGACATTGACTCTCTCTCTTGGAAATTCACCTTCCTTACTGTTACAACAATCGACACAGAACTCTGAGATCCTTAAACTCTGTAACAAACACTATGTAATATATTTATTTTCTTTCTCCGGGACCCCCTCAGGAGCCCCTTCCTTTCAAAGAGACGAACCAGCTAAAGGCTGAAAGTCTCTATAATAAAGCAAAGTATTGTGTAGTATGAAAAAAACGAAAAATTTTGCAGCGAACCATAACCCAACTCTTCAAACATTCGTTGGTCTTTTCAAAATCGTAACACTCGTTTGAGAGCATTTGAAAAGTAAAATAAAAATCTCTGAAGAAAAAAAGTTGAAATGCGATCTGAAATGCGTCATTACGTTAGTTTATTTAGAATCACAGAATCTCTGCACTTACCTCCGGTTGAAGAGTATCGGTTTTTATTCACTATAGTTTCAGTCAGACTTTTAGTTCAGGTACTCAGTGTTTCGCGTTGTCTAGGTCAATCTGCAAAAGAAAAACAGAATACAGTCATCATCCGATCATATTTCCGATAATCGTCAATAAATGATGGATTGGCCAGCTACCAATAAAAAAAACCCACAGCCCCAATCAGTCAACAAAGCTATATAGACAGACAAGACAGTCAGGTACCTATTCCGAGGCGTCCCCTTCCAAGGAAAGCGAAAATAGTCACAACATTCCCACATCCAGCGACCCCGGACGAAGACGAAGCGCGTCGCGTCGTCTGCAGCCAATTTGCAGATTCATCATCGGCACGCTACAACCACCGGAGGCATGCCCATTTTCGTATCTCTCGAGGTCAGCAACGAGCTCAAGCTCAGACTCAGTGCGGTGGTGGTCGGTGACTTCTCGCCACCACCACCGCCTTCGGGGGTTGAGATGAGACCATCCATTATCCATCGGGTCCATTGTACTTCTCTTCTTCTTCTTCTTCTTCTTACATCGTAGGGTTACAACCTACGGGACACATCAACAGAACTGAAACAGTAACCGTATGGCCCGCTCCTCTCCAAGCCAGGCAGAACAAGAAGACAAAGCTCAACGGTTTCTCGCCCGTTGTTATTGGTCATTAACTACCCCCGGAGAGGTTGACGACTTAAGCGAGAGAGGAAGTGGTATCTCAAGTACACAGCTCCAAATTTGTCTGCGACTCTGCGGCTGCTGGGCTCTCTCGAAACTCGACACAATAGCAGTAACTCGTCGGTTAACGACTGGTAATAATTTAATCACACATCTTCAGTCAGGAGCCAATCTCCGCATCTGGAAGAAACATCTAATTGTTCAAGACGGGATGCACTTAAACTTAATCAATTATTTTTTGACAACCTGGAAGCGCAATGTGTCCATAAAAACTGCCGCAGCGCAATGTGCGGGAATTTCGTCATCCCGGTAGGCGAGAATGCCAGTAATACTTCATAAACAAGCGCCCATTTGAACCGCTTTGAACCAGCAGCGCGCGGCGCACAGTAGGCTATGGAGCCGCACTCACACATATCACGTAGGCCACTACTTCTGGAAAAGGAGGTTACCTTCCCGATGCCTTTTAAGGAGTCGTCAATGATTACGGCTCATTCTCGGAATGAGGAAGGGGGAGGGGGGTTGGCGTGTGTTCGTTTTAACCCCGCTATGAAGCGCGGAGTCTTGATTCCGAGAACGGAACTGAGCTGATGTTTGCTGGTTGATAAGGTTGAGTAAAGAACAATTTAAGTGGTTTGAGCGGATGTGGATATACTAAAAAAAAAACAAATCTATAGAAGATGTGAGTAATGGTCTTTGTGACCAAACAAATTTATTGCAATAGTGAAGTGCATGCGCAACAATATAGCGTCCCGTCATTGTGACGATAATAATCGCATTAGGTGAGGGGAGGTACTTTTCGTCAATTTTCTTTTAAATGCGTAATTTACGTGCAATTTACTTAATAATTGAATTTTTGTCACAAATGAACCAATACATCTCAAATAATATTAATTAATAACATAACAGTTTCGATTCCTTTGCTAGTTTTATTTGATTTAAAATAATGTTGACACTCGAAACATTCAACTGTGATGATTCGATTGCAACTCTCATCGTTCTTTGAGCTATAGTATTTTTTTAAGGGGAAAGTCACTCAGCACATTGTGCCGAAATTAGATTCGGCACAGCTTGGGCACATCCATTGGAACACCTTCGGCACAATCTCGTAGGCATTGGATTGTTGTAAATAAAATGAGAGCTCTGCTGGACAACGGTCATTGAAGTTGCTCACAACATTACGTGCTGTGTGACTGTATATTCAGGAGCATCCTCCAGAAGAACTATCAGATCTAAATACGAAATATAAGTTCTATTGGATGGGAGGCAACAATTGCCGAACCCCTCAAACCGCTGAACCTTGCAGCGCAAAGCTTGTTTTCGTGCTGTCATAGCGAAAGCACAACTAGAAATGAGAGACGCTTTTCTATGCGATCGTCTACTGCGATCGCCCATTTTGCTGATTATCGTTTCTTATCTCGAACTGTAAACATTTGTTTAATAAATCAGTTTACTTTTATTATCAAACCAATTAATTCCGGTGTTATTATTTAACCTGCTAGCTCAGCCCAATAGGGTAAGGGCCCAGTGTAACGCGGAGTTTTGTGTACATTTGTGGACGATAGTGAAAACCCGGAACGTCAAGTGTTTTTCAAGAACGAACAATTTTGCGTCGCGAGTGTAAAACAAAATGGCGGATGCAAAGGTTTCGTTGGAGAAACTGAACGACGAGAACTTTTCAATCTGGAAGTTCAAGATGGAGCTTCTGCTGCTGAAGGAAGAATTGTTAAAGCTTGTGACGGATCCAAAGCCTGAAGCGATCAGTGCGGAGTGGCTAGCGGAAGACGGGAAGGCTCGCGCTATGATCGGCTTGGCGGGGGACGACGGTCAGCTGGTTCACATCATTGGAAAGCAGACGGCGAAGGAGATGTGGGACTCGTTGAAACAGATTCACGAGGCGACGTCTCTATCTTTGACACTTCACATCTTAAGAAAGCTGTGTTCCCTGCGGCTATCGGAAGAGGGTAATCTTCCCGAGCACCTGAACGAGATGACGGATTTGGAGAATCGTTTGGAGGTGATTGGGGAAGGTCTGAAAGATCGTGTTTTCATGGCGCTAATTTTGTCGAGCCTTCCGCCATCGTATGGCAGCTTGATTACCGTGATCGAAAACAAGCCGCAGAACGAACTGATGGTGGATTTCGTGAAGAGCAAGCTGCGCGACGAGTTGGCGTCGTCGCTTCGAGTGCAACGGTGGAAGTGTGCATAGCAGCGAGAAGGTGATGAAAAGTGTGAAGTCTAAAACGACGGACAAGAAGAAGAAAGGTGTGTGCCATTATTGCCAAGAAGATGGTCATTTTCGACGGGAGTGTCCGAAGTTGACCAAAGGTAGGCATGAAAAGAAGAAGTCGGAAGATGGAAAGGCGAATTTGGCTGCTGAAGTTCCGGGCGGGATGGAGATGTATCTGATGGCTGTGACGACCTCTAGGGCAAACCAGTGGTACTTTGACTCCGGTGCTACGTCTCACATGACCAGTGACAAGAAGCTCGTGAAGAACGTGAACGCAGCGAAGCAGCCGGAAATTTGTTTGGCCGACGGAACCAAAATTAAGTCGAGCGGTGCTGGAAGCGGAAAGGTGGTGTCAGTTACCGGTAAAGGTATTCGGATGGATGTCACTTTGAACTTTGGATGTCCCTTCGTTGTCAAGAAACCTGCTCTCAGTGAGTAAAATTTGTGATTTGGATTACAATGTTTTATTCGATCGAGCTGGATGCAAAGTTTTGAAAGGTCAGGAATCTGTGCTGGTGGGCGAGAGGAGTGGTGGCTTATACCGCTTGAAGCAATTTTCTCACCAAGCACTTGTGACCAAGGCTGCGCATCCGGACCTGTGCCAGCACCTGTGGCATCGAAGGTTCGGGCATCGTGATCCTGAGGCGGTATCGAAGATAGTGCGTGAAGATTTGGGCTTCGAAAGTTATTCGAACCGACGGAGATTTACTTACTTACTTAAGGGTCCTGTGCACCACCAGCGGTGCAAAGGGCCAACGTGAAAGACTTCCATTCTGAGCGGCTGCTCGCTTTTGCCTTGACCTGGGCCCAGGTCAGATTTCTATCGACTTGCTTAATTTCCTTATTGAGGCTCCACCGCCATGAGCCCCTGGGTCTGCCTCTGCTGCGATGTCCTGCTGGATTCCAATCCAGCGCTTGCTTGCAGATTTCGGTTCCGCCCCGTCGAAGTGTGTGGCCGACCCACCTCCACTTTCGCTCTCGAATTTCTGTTACTATCGGCTTCTGATGACATCGACGATGGAGCTCGGCATTCGAGATCCAGTTGTGAGGCCACCCGGCACGAATTACCTATGTCGCTCTTGGTCCCGCCGTCCGACGCTATTTGGCTGCCAAGATATTGGAAACTTTCGGCCTTCTCCACGGCTTGCCCCGCTACCGTATAGTTGGAAGGGTTGCCCGTGTTGATATCCAACGATTTGGTCTTGTTGACGTTGATGGTGAGACCCGCCGCAGAGGAGCGTTCGGCTAGGTCATTGAGCTTACTCTACATATCAGAGCGCCGTTGTGCTAGTAGAGCAACATCATCAGCCAAATCGAAGTCGTTGAGATGCTCCATGGTGATAGGCTGCCAATGCAGCCCACGGTTCGGTACACGGTCAATTGCACCTACCATGATCTCGTCGATTACGATGAGAAACAGTAGCGGTGATAGTATACATCCTTGTCTCACACCAGCGACTACCCGGATAGGGTCGGACAAGGCTCCGTTATGCAGAACTCTGCACGTGAAAGCCTCATACTGCGCTTCGATGAGGTTGACGATTTTATCCGGGACTCCCTTGCGTCTCAGGGCGCCCCACAGATTCTCGTGATTGAGACGGTCGAAAGCTTTTTCGTAGTCAATCAATACCAAATAAAGGGACTCTTGGAATTCATTGACCTGCTCCAGGATGATGCGGAGCGTGACAATATGGTCCATACAAGATCTTCCGGCACGGAATCCTGCCTGCTGCCGTCGGAGAGTCGCATCGATCTTCTCCTGTATCCGATTCAGGATAACTTTGCACAGAACTTTGAGAACAATACACAGTAACGAAGGAGGCGGGGAGTATTCTAGTGCATCTTTAAGGAACTACCCTTTTGAGAACGGTATTATTCTGCAGCAAACGGCACCCTATTCACCGCAGCAGAATGGGAAGGCGGAACGTAAGAACCAGTATGAAGTAGAGATGGTGAGGTGTTTGTTGGCGGAGTCGGGTCTCGACAAGAAATACTGGGGGGAAGCGATTTGTACTGCAAACTATCTGCAGAATCGTTGCCAACGTACGAACTGTGGCATGGAAAGAAGCCATCATGTGCCCAAGGAGAAGCGGCGGGAGCTGGACAAGAAGGCAACGAAGATGGTCTTCGTTGGATACGCGGAAGGGCGAAAAGCATACCGTTTCCTGGACACGGA